CAAACAGAACACCGAGAAATTGGAAATAAAAATTTTGCGGCATCTTAAAATACTAACTTTTATATTTCAGTGTGAGTTTTCGTGGACACACCCACAAATCTGTCTGAAGAAGTGGACATATCCATGAACGTGCACACTGAAACAAAACAATTAGTCTTTAAAGTTGATTTCTTTTTGTGTATTGTTTTTATTTTGACCTGGATATACAGGAAAAGAGCGCTTAAGTATCAGTCCGGCGAGTAAACAAACATGATGGTCTTTGCTGCGTAAGAGCTGCCTTCAGAAATGGAAGCATTAATCTTAGCCAGTGTGGCAGTGAAGCCAGAATGCACAAGGCTGGCACCCTGGGATTTTCTGATTAGCAGAGACTAGAATATCCTTTCCCCGGCTTCAGGCTTCCCTGCTTCATCTCGGGGGAGTGGCCAGCAACCCTAAAATAGCTGGGAGGGAAACAGATCTTCCCGGGGAAAGCTTTTCTAGTTGTAATGCCAACTCTTTGCGAGTGGCTTGATCTTCAATGCAAAATTAAGAGCCATTTGCTTTACAAAAGACCTGCGCCACTTTGGAGGATAAGGACTGGGCCAACTGTCTGCGTTTCTGGACTCTTGCGAGAGCGGGGCCCGGCTCTGGGGTCCGTTAGAGTGAATCCAGGCACTTCTTTGTGCACCCCTGCACTGCCGATGTCACCAGAGAGAGACCAGCAGCTTCTTCAGTCCCATTCAGGAAAGCAAGCGTCACCCCACGGGGACGAGCGCACAGGGGCAGGAAGAGGGCGCAAAGGCAGCCGGAATCCTTGGCACCCTCTTTGCAAGCAAGGGCACTGCTCGGAGGACACGGGCCGGCCGGCGGCCTCCTGGCTGCACTCCCTCCTGGAGGAAATCCCTCCATCCTGCCTTACAAGTCATGTTCAAGGGAAGTCATGACCTTGACCTTCACTGTGGCTTAACAGCGCCCACGCTTTTTATGGGAAGCCTCTATGAAGCCACCATTTCATCTCGCCTGCAGGTTTCTGCATTGCTCTTCTCTCGGTCGCGCTTTCGGCATGGCAGAGGCCCTGAACCTCAGACCCTAATTTAAAAGCGAGCTGGGTCTTTATAACACTCCAGAAGGAGGACCTGTGCTTAGGCAGGGCAACAGCCCAAGTGGTGGTGGTGGGGTTTCAGGAGACCCCAAAATAACTTGATGGAGACTAAGCCTCATCAACTGGAAGGAAAGGCAAAATTAGGAGGGGGGAGGGGTGTGCGGGGAGCAACTGAAGCTGTACTCCAAGGCTTAATTCAATAAAGGTGCTTACGCGCCCTGCTTCCCTCCATGGACCGGCTACCAGCCGGAAAACCCGTTTGCCACGAACTATCGCTGTGCTTTTAGGCTAGAACTTGCCTGCCGTGTATGTCGATAATCATAATGCTGACATGCCTTACAAGATAAACCACTTAAAAGTGTTTTGGATACACTGAAGCACTACGTAAACATGATGTGTCTAGCATTAATATTAACCACTGTTTCTGTTAAAAGTTGGCCAGGAAAGCCATCAGCAACATCAGTAGAAAGCCAGTTGCTGATTAAACTGGAAGAGGAATAATTGTAATTCATGAAAGCAGAAGTAGCAGGGTTCAGCTGTCTTCTGCTATCTGGTTAGGCCTCATCTTGATTACTGTGTCCAGTTCTGGACACCGCACTTCAAGAAGGAGGTTGACAAACTGAAACGAGTACAGAGGAGGGTAATAAAGATGATCAGGGGGCTGGAAACCAAGCCCTAGGAGGAAAGACTGAAAGAACTGGGCCTGCTTGGCCTTGAGAAAAGAAGACTTGGGTGATGGGGGGGGGGAGAGGATAGTACTCTTCAAATACCTGAAAGACAGTCATACAGAAGAGGGGCAGGATCTGTCTTTGTCTTCCCAGAATGCAGGCCATGTAAGAATGAGCTCAAGCTACAGGAAAGCAGATTTCGGCTGAATATCAGGAAAAATGTCTTAACTGTTAGAGCAGTATGACAAGGGAACCCATGACCTCGGAAGGTGGTGAGCACTCCAGTGCTGGAGGCCTTCAAGAGAAAATGGGACCATCGTTGGTCAGATCTGCTTGGATTGGGATTCCTGCCTTGAGTAGGGGGTTGGACTGGATGGCCTTAGGAGGCCCCCTTTCCAACTCCACCCTTCTAGGATCCCATGACCTTAACCTGAACCTCCTGTCTGCTGTTTCCTGGTGACAACCCTTCTCCTCTCTCTCAAAGCACCTGTAAGAACAAGGCAATGAGTTTGCCTCAGACCCACGTTAAGAGCGAGAGACGAAATACTGCTTTTTCGTCATGTCTCCAAAAGACAAGACACCTTTCAGAAAATGGATGTTTTCCCCCTTTTTCCACTTTGCTCCTGCAGGCTGGATAAGACAACTTTGTTTCCCATGGCCAGCATACAAAGTTTATTCCCAAGTCACACTTTGTCCAAAGCTGCACATTTCTTTATAAATTCAGACACAAATCTTCATTTGCTTCGCGGGAGCCTCGGATTACGCAGGGTCAGCTCATGGAGTTACTGTATTACAAAGTTTCCCGTCCCCGTTTATTTATCATTTGTACGACAGATAATCAGCACTCCTTGTGCACACAGATTCTCCACGGGAATCATCCAGCGGTCCCACTGGTCAGTCAGGAAAGGGTCCACCAGCGCAAGGCAAAGGCCTGACCCTCAGTTACTCAAGGATTGTAGGTTTCCTTGACCAACGTCAACTGCCCTGGATCCATCCTGTGGAGCCCTAGGATTGGAACTGTAGTTTGGTTTGGCCCTTTGAATTCTCTTCTGTAGTTGAGCAGCATGAGAGAGAGAGAGAGAGAGAGAGAGAGAGAGAGAGAGAGAACTCTAGAAAACAATCCCAAAGTCTTGTCGTCAAACTGCAAATCTCAGGATTTTATCCGAGGGAGCTAGGGCAGTTGACGTGGAATCAAGCTGCGAAAACCAGCCAGAGCAGAGTAGCTTTAAAAATCATTCGAGAGAGGTGAATGCTAGGTGGAAATTAGGAAAAAAATTTTCATGCCAGGACTGTGTTAATCATTCTAAAATAAAGAATTTCATAATCCTTTAGCCGCCACTGACGCCCCCTGTTTTCGGAAACAGCAGCCCAAATTTGTTGTGGAAGAAGGCATCTTCGCAGCCTTCTCCCTTCTCCCTCAGATGTTCACGCTTTTGCTCAGAACAAAGTCCTGCAAAGAAGGTAAGGTGGCCCCAAGTTCCTTATCTCACAGACATCGTGTTGGGGCCCCGAAACCCCCTCAGCCATTTACTATGACGTGATACAGCCAAGCCGCCTCTCCCTAAGACCATGTAAAATCATTTATGGCACCAGATCTCCATATCTGAAGATTCGCCCGGGCTCTCCCCCAACTACCAGGCCTCTAGTAATTGGATGGACCCTGAGGCAGAGAAGGGAAAACATTATCCCAGACTCAACTGCACCCCAGGAGAAACAAATACTCAGAGAGACTGCAAGTCCCAGAGACGGCTGGCTCTTCCAGACACGTTCCTCCAGATGTTCCTTAAGAGCGTGTTTGTGGCCCTGGACCGGAAAGGCAGGCATAGCTGGAGCACAGATCCTAGAGACATTTATGGTGCAGGTCCTCCTCCAAGCTTTTACCCCCGCCCCTTTTAAAATCCCTCATAAAAATCCCATCATTTGCTCATAAAAAACTCATCATTCAGCAGCAAGTGGCACTTGGAGTTCCTCTTCTCCGCCAGAAGATTATTACACGGAGCAAAATGCTGCACAATGACTAGCCACCTCTGGGCAGGGATCCGGAGGAAAATGGGAGATGCCAAGAAAGAAGGCACTCCGGGATCGGGGGGGGGGAGGGGAAGGGAGAGAAAGTGCATGAAAGCAGCACCCTTGTGTCTTGTTACTGAAGTGTTTGCCAAACAGAAATGTCTCCTTGATATAAGAGACGGTCTGTCGGTCCCTCAGTCCGTCCTTCTCTGGCTGACACCCTGAACCTCTCTGCTCCATTGAGGGAACCTCCAGAGGGAGCCAGTCTGGGAAGTGGCGTGCACGTGGGGGCAACAGGTCACCTGTCTCAGGACACACGCCGGAGACTTGCAGTGGGAGACGGGGTGTGCGCCCCTGGGTGCCTGTGCCATTGGCAACCCCTCCAAGCCTGCTTCCTGCCCCTCTCTTCCTTTCCACGGCACATCTGGCTTGCAACCATTCTTTTCCCAAGGGGGGCAGAAAGGGGGGGGAGAAGACCTCTCATCCCTGACAGCCTTGGTCCCAATCAGATCTAAACTTAAAAGCAAACCAGAAGAAACCAAAAGCAACCTTCTGACTCCCAGGAGGCAGGAGGCCTTCGGCTGTCGAGAAGCGGTAGATCATTTCCCACCCCTGCCTGGGCACTGGCTTCGCCCCCACCCACCCACCCAGGCCCATTCCCTAGAAGAGGAAGGAGTCCCCTACCCAAGGAAGAGAGGCCAACATGGCCCACCTCTTCCAGGATGCACCAAAGGCAGCCTTTGCAGCCGGGCCCGCCGACACCCGCGCTGGTGCTGTTCTTTCTCTCGGTGGCATCCTGCACAAGCACTGGGGAGTCCACTGCCTGTCAACACATGCCCAGGCAAGTTGTGACCCACAACAAGACGAAGGGCTCGGCTTTGCCTGGGGATCTGTCTCATCCCTTCCTAGGAATGAACGGAAACAAGCAAGCAAACAAAACATCTCACTCCCACAAACACTTTGCTAAATTCTTGGAAGTTCTGGACTGGAGTGGAAAACGCAGCGCCCGGAAACGGAGCGTGCACCTTGAGCACCTTGTGTTCATGGGACAGCGAGCCATGCCTCGTCCCTGTGGGCCTTCCAGAAAGGTCCCCGTATGTGTCTCAAGACTCCAGCGAGACCTACAATCAACAAAGCCTCGGCTCATTTCTGCCTTCCTTCCTCCTCCACCCCCTTGCATGTGTCCTCCTGACATCCAGGGGTGGCCCCAGAGAGACACAGAAGGCAACCACCACGAAGCCTGCCTGGGGCCTCCGAGAAGATGGACGTGCCCACAAGAGCCAGGCTTCGCAGCCCCAACTTGGCAAGGATGGACAAAGCGTTCCTCTGGCAGCTGGCAAAGTCATGTTTGGCAGGCTGCAAAAGAGGGGGCGTCAAGGTGGGGGCGAGGGGCCATCCCTGGTGGGCAGGGGGGTGGTGGAGACGGCCAATGTGTCCTACAGAGCCTTTCAATTCTTCTTCAAGGACAGGCTTCCTTTTTTTATATTACACAATTCTTCAGTCTGAACGTGACAGGGGGACTGACGCAGGGTAGGGACGGGAACCCCGTAGCCCATTCTGCTTGAGTCCTGTGTTGGCCGGATCCATGGCGCTCACCCCCCACCATCATCCCCAGCCATTTTCGCCTCTCTCACAGAAACAATCCAGGCAGAGCAGCAGTTCCGATTATTTTCGTGACACACCTTCCAGTCCGGCCACCCCTCTGTCGCTCCCGTTGCCGGACTCCCTTTCAACAAAGAAACAAAATCCGAGGCATCCTTTGGGAAAAAACAAAATCAAAGGCATCGCCACCCAATGTCAAATGCTACTGTAAAGAAAAAAAACCGTAATGACAAATTGTTGTTCTCGAAAAAGCCTGAAGTTTAGAAAGGATATATTTTTTCCCCACAGAGATTGTTTAGGTTGCTAAAAACAAGACTGTCTTGACAGTAGTTTCACAGCCTCATGTCTTCCTCAGAATTTACTCATATGATATTTTGAGGGCATGACCTCAGTTTGGAAGTCAATGAAGTACAGCTGCAGTCTCTCTCTCTCCACACACACACACACACACACACAGAGAGAGAGAGAGAGAGAGAGAGAGAGAGAGAGAGAGAGAGAGAGAGAGATGTACGCGTCAGAAAGAACCCTAATTGAAGGCCTTCAACAGTTTCCAGCCAGTGCTGGAAACTAGAGGGTCCCTGACGAGTGGGCATCCAACCTCTGTTTTCAGACCTTCCACAGGTAAGACTCAGGTTTTTTTTACAGAGTTGTTCTAGGGACAGTGATGCAAATGTGCAAAAATGTACTCAAGCCACGGCCATGCTTGCTTTTCTGTCCTCTCTCACTCTCTCTCGACCTCTCTCGTGGCCGGCCCCCTCTGCGATTCACAATATTTTGCAGTCGCATTGCCACCAGCAACCCCCTTTTTCCCAGAATGAAGACACGCAGTGCAGAATTAAAAGACACAGGAGCCCTCAAGGTAGTCCTCGAATTAAGTGAAGTCTGGAGGGTGAGGGAGAGGAGGCAGATATGTCTCTTATCCTGGGCTGCTTCTCTCATTTTGTGTGTGTGTGTGTGTGTGTGTGTGTGGAACCTGCACATTTTTCTCCCCAACCTCTTGGCAGTGAAAACCAGGATTGTCATGCGCCGAATCTAGGCTTGCGCTCTGTTCCTGCTCCAGCGTGCTCTCCCCCTCAAAGTCGGAGGCCAGCACCTCTCAGAGAAGCTGGAAATCTGTTCTTCTTTTCCTCTTGGGAAAACAGACATCTCCTTCATTAAAGCACTTCAGGGCAGCCGCTGGACGTTGTGAGGATTCCCACACCCACCGGGACAGGAATCTCCAGAGAGCTCAAGCACCTCTGGGAAATTTACCTGAGCCTTTTAGGATCTCCCCACAGGAACCCCGGCAGGACATCTCAGTCCCTCTCTTTCTTTCCACCGTTTCTTCATCACATCTAAAGAAGACTTACTGAATCCTTGCCGACGTTCACCATTCACCGATGGATTCAGCAGCTGGCAAGTCATGACAAGAGGAGACCCACTGAATCAGTGGGGTCCAACCCCAGGTTTGCAACCTTCGCCTTTGCCACGGCTGCACCTTCAGCCCTTGGAAAGAATGTCTCTCCCAGATTTCCTGTCCAATAATTGATTTCGGGGTTGCGTGCAAAGCAGTGCGCGCTGGCCAAGCCACAGATATGTCCGTACAAGACATGATACTGTACAGTTGCTCTTAGGCTTCAACCTGCGGATGGGAGACTAGTGTGCATAAACGTCCCTGATTTTGTGTGTGGAATCCAAACATGCACGCCTTCCTCAAACACAGCACATCCTCTATTCCGACACCGGTTCCCTTCACCCTGTGATAGAGCATTCACACAGAGCAAAGATAGTCAACAACAATCAGATGAGAAAAGGCTCCAGGGAATCTCAGATTAAAGTTTTGAGGTTTCACTGCGTTGCCGTTGTCTTCCTTGACACAGCTTTAAAGTTTCAACATACATATCTTTTACAATAGGCAAGGCAGGGAAATTCCACAGGGTGAAAGAGGGAACCGCTTCAGCCGGAGCTCTGACATCGAAGCAGACCTTCTGCGGCGTCTATTAGAACTGAGGGCCAGGGTGGAAGGAGCAGCAGCAGCAACGACAACGTTACAAAACCAGCTCCTTCCAACAGCCTACCTGGTGCATTCTGGCGAATTCCAGCGAATTTAATTCACCCAGGCCTTTGGAGCCACGTAATTTGGAAGCAGGAAAAAGAATTTAAAAAAAAAGACTGTGGGAAATCTGGATCCTGTCTTAAACCCTGAATGGTTACGTTATGGTTTTATGCTCCTCTATGAGAAGGGAAGGGAGAAAGGCTTCATATTATTATTGCTGTTGTTGTTTCTATTGTCGTATTTTCATTATTGCATCTTCGCCTTTTTTTCCTCCTAAGGTTACGTCTTATTTTTTTTGCTTTTGTGAGCTAGTCAGGGAAGATAGGCTCAGCCGTACAAATTCAATAACAACTGCAAGACTGTCTGATTAGTTTTCTGCAGCATGACGGTGCTGCTCCCAAAGCAGCTCATGTTCAGAAAAATATCTTTGGAAATGCGAGTTTTCGGCAAACCGTTTACCGTTTATCACCTCAGTTTATAACAGGTTTTTCGCCCCTAAAAGCAGATTTTTCCAGCGGCTTTATCAGACGGAGACACACGCCTCCCCCGAAAAAAGCAAACCCCAAATCTTCAGACAGACTGGCTGCTTCCATGCCTGTCAATAGGACTTGCAGCTTTTCAGGACTGGTATGAAGGTGAGCGAAGAGGAGGAGGTTCTGGTCAAGAGGAAGCCGTTGGTTTAATCTGTTTTGCACACTTTGGTGTAAGTACAGCAACTTCTGGGCCCTTGTATAAATTGTGTTACATAACACTGCCTATTATTTAAGGTCTTAACTGACAGATCACACATTATCTGTCCCTCCCCCCCCGTTTTTCTCTTATTTTTTTCTCTTTGCCTTTTGCTTATTTTTTTCTCTGCTTACCCAAATGAACATGTCTGTTTCCAACTGCGCTTTCCCCCTCAGACTGCACATTTTTGTACACACACACTTGGTTATATACCATTATAATTCATTATAAACCATTATAATCAGCATGCACCATCATAATTGGTATATGTAATGGTATATATATATATAATTCTTGGATTGTAAAGGAGTAATAATGACTGGTTAGCAGAAGTATGAGGTGGATATCACTCTATGCACAACCGTTTCTAGCGAAAATGCTTGAGACACGAAAAACCAGGCCTCCTGTCTGGGTGCCCATCAAGAACCATGCCTCCCTTGAGCCAGTTTAAGCAGAACGGCCTCCAAGCCTTTCTGGAAAAAGCCGAGCCCATCGTCTGCCAGGTTTCTGGACGGATACAACATCCCAGATTTGGAAGCCAATCAGTCCACCTTCCTCAGCCAGAGAACTGGTCTGGTGCAGACGGAACAAACTGGGACACTTGGATGCTTTGGAAGGGTTATAAGTCCATCACTGCCAACCCAAACCCAGGGCAATAAAGAGCCAGAAGAGGTCCTGGTGGGGTCTGGGGGTCCCAACATCCCCCCAATTTCTCCCTCACCTCCCCCCCCCGACACAAACAGAAGGAATCGGTGGTGCCAGCCCATTAAAGGACGGATGCGATGTTTTCTAGCCTGCGGGGAAAGTATGCATGAACGAATTAAGACTGATAAAACCTGCTTCCTGGCTCATTCATCTGTTTCCCTCTGTATCAGACACCAAAGTTCATGACTTCAAGACCTGCCAGGACCAAAAGGCAGTAGGAAGCGTGCTAATTGTCCGCCGGAGAGATAAGGCGACCCAGACGCCCTGCTTTTAAACGCAGGGTAATAAAGAGAAATGCCTTTTTAAAAGAAGGCAAAGAAACAAGGACTCGAGGCACGGAGTTACTCTCTCAGTGGTATATTTAACCTGGAGTTCAGGGTCCATAAAGCTGGTCTGGCGAGGGTGGATGTTAGAGCGAGCGTCTCAGGAAAGCAGCTGGAAGGACAGGTTTCCGAAAGCAGCATTCCTCCACGAACGATTCGCCTTCAAAAGAAATATCTACATACTATGACCATTAAACTGAAGTGGAAAGGTCAGGAGCGCCCATTAGAAAAGGGTGGCTCCCTCCAATAATTATAGATGCGGCGGCGGGGGGGGGGGGGG